ATAGATAGATAGATAGATAGATAGATAGATAGATAGATAGATAGATACTTTATTGATCCCCAAGGGGAAATTCAAGACAGACTGACAGGCTTGGTTTAACCTGTAATACCACAGAAGCATGTATGACCTTTGACTTTTGGCAAAGGCCACACTGTCGGCCCCTTTTTGGGAAAAGATTCATGACGCATGTCTCAAATTTCCCTTCGTCTCCAGTTGATTCAAGCAGGCAAAGGGGAGGCTCTGAGGATCAGGGCCATTCTGAGGTCTCTGGTGCCCATTGAGGACCTGGTGGGGGTCATCAGCCTGCCCGTGCAGATTCCTGCTTACGGGAAAGGTTAGAGATTCCTTTCTGGATTGGAGCTTTTTCAATCAACCCGACCTGCGCTGACTCCTTTGTCCGTCCGAACCGCAGACGGTCAGATCATCGAGCCCAAGATGTCGGCCAGCTTCGTGCCGGACCACAAGGCCTCCATGGTGCTCTTCCTGGACAGAGTCTACGGCATAGAAAACCAGGACTTCCTGCTCCACGTGCTGGAGGTCGGCTTCCTGCCCGACATGAGAGCGTCAGCCTCTCTGGACACAGTGAGTAGCCAAAGGCAGAGTTGCCCCCCCGATGGGTCTGAGGCACCCCATGCTGCTTCCCTTACACCTTTGGGTCTGACTTCAGGTGGCCTTCAGCACGACGGAAATGGCCCTGGCGCTGAATCGCTACCTCTGCTCGGCCGTCCTGCCTCTGCTCACCAAGTGCGCCCCCCTGTTCGCCGGGACGGACCACAGGGCCATCATGATTGACTCCATGCTGCACACCATCTATCGCCTGTCCCGCGGCCGAGCCCTCACCAAGGCCCAGAGGGACGTCATAGAGGAGTGCCTCATGTCGCTCTGCAAGTCAGTGCCGGGAAATCACGGAAGAATGGCTTTAATTCAGCTTTAATTTAGCTTTAATTTGCTGGGAAATTCCTCTTCTTCATGAGCAGTGGTCAATTTAGTGGCCAGCTATTTAAAAGCCATTATCACTTTAGCTTTACTACGGTGCATCAAGCAAGAAAGATTAAATATGTCCACAAAAATAATCTGTTAAAGAGGAGCTGAGATAGACTGAAATGAATAAAGGGCTTGAAACATTCACTTAAAGTTCTTAAAAATTGCAGTGCACTTGAGTGGACATTGGAAAAATCCTTGGATAAAAGCTTTTTTTTAAAGAAAGTCTTTAAGAAAATCCAACACTTTTGGGAAAAATCCTTACTGAGATGATCCTAATTCATGCCTAGATGAAATATTTAAGATACATCCCTCTTCCTAACATGACAGGTTTCTCCAGAATGAACAAATCATTGCTTATCTTTAACTAACGAAGCATTGTTCTGGCCGGGGCAGGTACCTGAGGCCCTCCATGCTGCAGCACCTGCTCAGGAGGCTGGTGTTCGACGTGCCCATCCTGAACGAATACGCCAAGATGCCACTGAAGGTTTGCCTGAGCTTTAATTGTACTCCAGATTTTTGTTGTCCAAGAGTGTCGGATTGCCTCTGTCAGGTGGCGGATCTTAGGGAGGACTCAGTTGCGGAGATGTGGTAAAAAAAAGGTTTAATTGACTAAAACGCACTCAAAAGGAGTGGTTGACCAGACAAAGTTAAAACAAGGCTGGCAAAACTATGAACAAATTATCAAAGCAAGATTAACATGACTGTGAACAAAGTATCAAAACAAGTAAACAAGACTATGACAAAAGTACTAAATAACGTAAACAAGACTATGGCAAAAACTACACTGTGCAAAATTCAAACTCTTACGTTGCGTGGACAAGACAAGGAACGAAAGCAAAGTGACACAAAATGATGAAAATGACAAAAACACACTGGCACAGGACAGGTAAAACGAGGTCTATTTAAACACATGAGGGAAGGGAACCCCAGGTGTACACAACAGGTAATCAAGACATGACAACACACCAGAAATTCCCCCAGACGTGACAGCCTCGAAATGCGACGCGACTGAGGTGTCAACAGGAAGCGGTTCCCCTGTGAGTCAGTTTTTATCTCAAATGTGCCTTCCAGCTGCTGACCAATCACTACGAGCGCTGCTGGAAGTACTATTGCCTGCCCAACGGATGGGCCAACTTTGGAGTGACCTCCGAGGAGGAGCTGCATCTGTCTCGGAAACTCTTTTGGGGAATCTTCGAATCATTGGCACACAAGGTGAGAGACGAGTCTTGTCCGATTTCACATGGAGAGAAAGGGAAGGAAACTCTTGGGCTGACGTGGTCACGGCAGAAACCACGTGGAGAGGTGGTGAACTTTGAGCCTCAGCTAATCCTCTCATGTCGATTTAGAAATTTGATGCCGAGCTCTTCAAGATCGCCATGCCCTGCCTCTGTGCCATCGCGGGGGCCATCCCTCCGGACTACGTGGACGCCACCTACTCCTCTCACACTGAGAAAAAGGCCTCGGTGGATGCTGAAGGCAACTTCGACCCCAAACCGGTCGAGACCACTAAGTGAGTTCTGGGAGGACCCGCAGATAAAAAAAAAACGCAGAGCTAGTCAACTTCGAGGGGCTGCCACCGATTTATAAGATAGAAAAAATTTAACTTAAACTGTTTTTTCAAGTCTAACTGTAATGTCATCTCACAGCACCATCATCCCAGAGAGACTGGATGCTTTCATCAACAAGTATGCAGAACACACTCATGACAAATGGGCTTTTGAGAAGGTCAGTCGGTCAGAAACAATGGATAAATGTGTCAAATTAAGCCCCTGTTTGGTATCAGGAAGCAGTATTTCTCACGGTCTCCCTGATGGTTGAATCTTTTTTTCAGATTCAGAACAATTGGACCTATGGAGAGGTGTTAGATGAGAATGGGAAGACCCACCCGATGCTGAGGCCCTATAAAACGTTCTCTGAGAAGGTTTCCCCCTCTTTGTGCCCTCATGTAACCTGAGCTAAGAGCCTGATTATGTTCTCACCCCGTCTTCTTTCCGGTTCCCAGGACAAGGAGATCTACCGTTGGCCCATTAAAGAGTCCATCAAAGCCATGCTGGCCTGGGAGTGGACTCTGGAGAAAGCCAGGGACAGCGAGGGGGAGGTGGAGAAGAAGGCTACGACACGCAAAATCTCCCAAACTGCTCAGGTACGAGACAGAGGAGAAGCATGGGGGAACTGAAATGCTGCTCTTATAGAGGTTCAGTAGACCTCTATAAGACCCAGATTCGTCACTTAACATGTGGATGTTGGGGCTCCATCAATCATGGCTGGAGTGAAGGGCCCTGATGGAGAATGAGAAAGATTTAGGACATACTGAACCATTTTGGGCTTCTTTAAGAGCTAACAAGTGATGCGATCTTCTGTTTTACTGATGTGCATGCGGTTCGTTTGTTTGTCCTCAGGCCACTTATGACCCCAGTCATGGCTACAACCCTCAGCCAATAGACATCGCAGGGAATGCCCTGTCCAGAGAGCTGCAGGTAGGGATGTTTCTGTCAGTCTTCCACAGTCCTCAAAGCTCCCGTTGGTCCGATATTCTCCAGTAAAATCTGCAGGAAAGAGTGGGTTTGATGCCCTCACCCTCTCATTTTAGTCAATGGCTGAGCAGCTGGCAGAGAACTACCACAACACCTGGGGCAGGAAGAAGAAGGTGGAGCTACAAGCCAAAGGCAAGCAGTTGCTTCTGTTTGACTTGGGCTTCTGTTTTGAAGCCAAGACAAAACAAGTGTTGCTTTTCCTCCTCTAAGGTGGTGGCACCCATCCTTTGCTGGTGCCGTATGACACCCTGACGGCCAAGGAGAAGGCCAGGGACAGGGAGAAGGCCCAGGACCTGCTCAAATTCCTCCAGCTCAACGGATACGCCGTGACAAGGTGAGCAGGAGGTTTCTGTTTTGAGTTCTGTGCCTGTAAAGACTAGGGTTGTCAAAAGTATCGATACTCAAAAAAGTATCGACACTAAAATGTTGTATCTGGATACAATACTCATTTTCAAAAGTATCGATAATCTTTCAAACACTGAGTTAAACTCTATCCATAATGTTATGTTAAAATAGTGTATGTTAAATAGGTTTGTACAATACGTCCAAACAGGTTTAACCAAAAAGTATTTATTGCTAACAACTATGAAGGGTCAGGGTTAGGATTAGGGTCATTAAAGCGGCCACCAGTCACGATAACATCAGTATCAGGTCAGTTTGAAATGAAAGACACTAACCTGTCAAAATTCTGTCAAATTTTGGGGTCTTTGTTTTTATCCTTGCGGTATCGAAAATCGTATCGAGTATCAAGTATTTGCCTGAGTATCGGTATCGAGTTGAAAATTTTAGTATCGTGACAACCCTAGTAAAGACTACTCCTCTGAGAGTCGCTTCAGCTCTTTGCACACCTTTTCTGCGCCCACAGAGGAATGAAGGACATGGAGCAGGACATCTCCTCCATTGAGAAGCGATTTGCTTATGGATTCCTCCAGAAGCTTCTCAAGTGGATGGACATCGCGCAGGAATTCATCGCTCATCTCGGTACTGTGCTCGTCAGGGTTTGATCAGAGCTCGGATTCAGAGCTGGGAAACCTGTAAAACCCCAGGGGAGGAGCTGCAGAAGGTCCTGCTTTTAACCTAGTCATTCTTTCTCTCCTCCTTTCTCCCACAGAGGCTGTAGTCAGCAGCGGCCGGGTGGAAAAATCCCCACATGAGCAGGAGATCAAATTCTTTGCAAAGGTCAGTTACCTCATGCTTCACAGAATCGCTGTGTTGAAAATGAACCGTAAGCAGCCCTGACGACACCCCTTTGGTTTGCGGCCAATTTGGCACCACTGTGCTTTTTCCAATCTGGACCCACGATGAAAAAATGCCTGTTACAGCACCGCCTGTCCTCCATTTACCTCTAATTGGGAACAAAATGTAGAACCTGAGGATTTGAGTTGACCGACTATGATCCTGTTTGTCTCTTGAAGATTCTTCTGCCGCTGGTCAATCAGTACTTCAAGAACCACTGCCTGTACTTCCTCTCCACTCCCGCCAAAGTTCTGGGCAGTGGAGGCCACTCCTCCAATAAGGAGAAGGAGATGATTGCCAGGTAAGAGGCAGAAGCCCTGCTTCCTCTTTGCATCAGGCCTTGAACGTTTCCCAGTATCCTCCCCTTTGGTATTTTGTGAGGAACCAGTCTGTCCTCCTCTTGTGCCATGGCCCTCCATCTCTCTCTACCCGACTGTGCGGTATCTGTTAATTCCTTGACCTCCCTTTTGTTTTTGTGTGTACTTCAAACATTTTTACTGCCATTTCTCCCCTTACCTTCCTTCCTCCTCCCCTTTTCCTTTCCTGTTTTCTCCTCCTACTTCAGTATCTTCTGTAAGTTGGCTGCTTTGGTGAGGCACAGAGTCTCTCTTTTTGGTAAGACATTTGCATGGTGGCGTCACGCCCTGTCACCACCTCTGTCCCTCTGCGTCTGTTTTTGTTTCTCTTTGTTTCTGCTGATCTGATTTGCCTCCTCTTCCTCCGTCCCTCCCCTTTACATTCTAACGAGCAGTTTCACATTTTGTCTGCCGTCATTTCCTGTCTCCACCTCACCGGGCCTACTTGTCTAATGCTTCTCTCTCTTCAGCTCAGCTCCTGCTTGGCTTTGATGTTTTGTTTTTCTTGTGAGTGGAAAGTTGCCGTTTTGCTTTTGAGGCAAAAGCTGAGTTTAACACATGGGCAACAGCATGAATATTTGCAGTGGCGTCAGATATCCACAGATGGCAGCCGGGCTTGCATAAGGCAGAAGCTCCTTTATCTTCAGTCTCTTCCACTTTACCACCATATGTCTTTAACAGTCACTCCCATGGACCCTGACGGAGAGAATTTACTCGGCTCATTTGTGGTACAGCCGAGGGGGAATCGCATAAAAATCTGGGGTCTTACAGCATTGTGGTAGTGCTGCATGTTAGGGATGCTCTACCAAAAGATAGAGAACATATTAGTGAAATCAAGCGCTGGACAAAGGTCTCGGGCCACCTCTCATTGAATAGGAGACACACTGGTCGTAATCTTTTGATCTAAAGCCGTTCTTCTCATAGCATTTTTGCTTATTTTCAGTCCGTCCCTGCTCATTTTCAGCATAATTTCCTCCCATTTCTTCAGCTGCATCAACAGAAAGTGATAACAGAGAATAGTATATGGTGCTGTGTAGAATATCTGCAGCCATGAGCTCATTCCCAAAGATCTCAGCAGATTTCAGCTGTTGAGCAGTGAGTCCTTAAAACATCTGAGGAAACTGGACCAGTGGAGGACAGAAGAAGAAGAAGAGCTGGGCCTGAAAAACTCTGTAATCCAGCAGATGAAGAGGATCTGAAAGTGATGACAAAGAGGAGCAGATCCAGCAGAGAGTTGAACAGGAGCTGAGAGCTGCATCTGGACCTCCAGCTGACCAGCTCCTGGTGGCTGAATCAGAAATGCTCTCCATGAAGGGGGCTGTCCAGAAGCCATGAAGGAAGGAAACAGGAGGAAAGGTTGAGCTCTGCCAGAGGAACCAGAAGTGGATGAACCCCAGCAGCTCTGATGGAGGGATGGATCCTCCAAGAAGCCTGGAGAGCTTCTCCAGAAGACTTCTTACAGAAAAGACAAACAGCTTGCTGGAGAGGAAAGAGTTCAAAGCAAATATTTGTCACAGTACCTACGTTTTTATCAAGTGAATCTGGACAGAATGGTTTAAAAAAAACTTTACAAAAAAAAGTCTTCTTTTTCTCTAACTAGTTGTAAAACTAACTCTTTATTTAAAAAATTTGAGAAAAGGTGTCCACAGGTTACAAATCGTATCCCAAGTGAGCAGGTGAAGCTCAGAGAACAAGGAGCCGGCTCATTTCAAAGAACAGCAACTGTTTACCCACGGAAGGAAAAAATCTGCTGAAATAAAACCTTTGAAAAAAAGACTGAAGCAGTGTGGGATCATCTGACAGAGAACGGAGCCGAAGGCAGCCGGCATCCAAAGAAGTTTTCAGTCTCAAACGGCTTGTTTTTGTCTTCGATTTTCATCCAAAACGACTTAAAGAAGTCCAAAAAGAGCTCTCAATCAGACTAAATGCTGACTTTTAAGCGCTGCCTCTGTTTTTTTTCATTGCATTTCCATCTACGCTTGTACGCTTTAGCAGATCACACCACGTAGTGCCCACTGTCACCCCAATATCTAAAGAAACCAGGGCGTGGCTCAAGACCCTTGAGAATCACACGGTTCAGTATTCGTTCAAAGGGAAGCGGTCAGTTTTGAATGGTTTGCTCAGTGTTGCTCAAAACACGACGTAACATCCCGTCTGCATTTGAGCTCTGAATCAGAAAGAGCAGACGGAGATCAGTGATGCTGCTTTTTTTTCTGCTGTCTTCAGGAACGGATTCAGGAGCCGTGGTCAACTGCCTGCACATCCTCTCCCGCTCGCTGGACGCCAGGTACCTCGTTCTGGGCCCCCCAAGAGGCAGCAAACCAGGCAAAAACCTGTCGGGTTTCTTCTAACCTGCTCTCCTCCCGCTCCGTCCTTTCCAAAGGACCGTCATGAAGTCGGGCCCTGAGATCGTGAAGGCGGGACTGCGCCAGTTCTTTGAGAGCGCCGCGGACGACATCGAGAAGATGGTGGAGAACCTGAAGCTGGGGAAAGTCTCCAGTCGAAACCAGGTGGATGGACAGTCAGAGATTATGCTTTTTTTGGCTCCGAACTACAGCCTGTAGTCTCTTAAAACAGGATTTCAGGCCTCCTGTTTACTGAAATCAGAAATATTATCCCTATAATACCAAATGTATCATATTTGATTCATACGGTTTCTGAAGTCTTTTGGATCTGAGACTTTTTGCATCATTCAGTGGTAAAAGCTTTGCTCAGACCCCTGTTGTACACATTCAGATATACTTGATAACAGCCAGTAGAAGACTACACCAAAATATATTTTTAACTTATTGCACGCTAATTTGATCAAAATAATTTGTGGGGTTTTTTTCTGTTGAGGGAGCAAAGAAAGACTTCAGACTAAAAAAATCCAATATTCTTCCTATTTTTCTTGTAACAGGCTTTAAAGGGTTATAATAATTTCCCTGTGGGATTATTAAAGTATTTCTGATTCTGATACTGAAGCGATGCAATGACGGCTTTGTCAAACAGAAACCTTCATAATTTCTCTATTTTCAGCCACCTGGTCTTTTTGATCCGCTGTGCTGCACAAACTGAGATGTATTAAGATGAAATGTCGCTTTGTTCACTCATATTTTCAATTCTATTAATGAAAAATAGCTTGAAAACCTTTAGAAAATCTTTCAAAAATGGAGTCCAGATTTTTATCTTATAACCATCACCTCCGTCATGGAGCACCTCTGAGTCAATTAGATTTTTTTTGGGTGGGAAAGCATCCTTTTCTCTTAACCGTAAAACAAAGATAAGGGACTTGTGGAGTGTTTTGTGTTAGGATGTGACTCCTGGTAGAGTTGAGGCTGGAAGCTTCAAAAACCGTTCAGTAAACAGGCGCCGAACTGGCCGTTTGATGGTCCTTATACTGCAGGATCTTAGCCGGAGGCCTTCGTATTTAAGCTACCTGTTCACAGAGAAAACCAAAGGCAAAGGAGGCTTGTTTTACCCGGGTTTCTGTGTTTCTCTAGGGCTGTAAGGGCGTGTCCCAGAACATCAACTACACCACCACCGCCCTGCTGCCCGTCCTCACCTCCCTGTTCGACCACATCGCTCAGCACCAGTTCGGAGATGATGTCATATGTGAGCGCCCCGCAGAGCACAGACCTCCTTCCTGCTTTTTTCTCGCTCGGTGTCAGATCTAAAACTCAAGCCATTCCCCTTCTTCTCTAACCCCTCCTCAGTGGATGACCTGCAAATATCCTGCTACCGCCTGATGTGCAGCATCTACTCTTTGGGAACGGTGAAAACTCCACATGTGGAGAAGTGAGTGTCCAGCAACTCTAATCCCCTCCTGTTGGTTCTAGTTTCCAGAAAAAAACAAATGAAAAGCCAGAGTGGCTTTTCATTTGTTAGCCCGATTCTTTAGTTGGAAGCCTGAGAATAAACCAGAGTAGATCAATAGTACAAACATGACATTTATTGGTCACAAGCAGAGTAAATCAGCTGGACTCTCACAGACAAAGTTCCCGGAGGATCTCAGTTAGGAAAGAGCCTGGATTTCCAGGTGTGATGGACAGTTTTCCTCTGGGTCTCCAACAGGAGGACGGCTGGACCTAACGGAGTGTTATTGGCCAGTTAGCTCTGACGTGAACAGGCCAGGTCCTAATTCATGCAGGTTTAGGTGGAATGTGATAAGAAAGTGTGGATGTTGAGCTTGAAGACGAGTATCTACTGTAACAGAGAGAGGAGGAGGAGGCACAGCCAGAGTTTAACCCAAAAGTAGAATCATAAAGGGAGTAATATAGGTCTAAAAAGGAATAAGACAATCAGTCCTTTACATGGATTAAGTTATAAGATACTGTGCTAAAGTGAGTAATTAGAGCCCAATTCTAACACATTCATTCCTTTTATTTGTTGGGTGGAAACATTAAGGAGGACTTTTATCTTTTTGTGTCCTGTCCAGACAGCGGCCGGCTCTTGGCGAATGTTTGGCCCACCTGGCGGCCGCCATGCCCGTGGCCTTCCTGGAGCCCGTTCTGAACGAGTACAACGCATTTTCCGTTTACACGACAAAGACTCCCAGAGAGAGATCCAGTGGGTGTTTTTTCTATCCGATAGATTAATCTGACTTCAGTCCTTCATGCAGAGATATACAGTAACAAAGTAGAACTACTTAAGTACTGTACTTAACTACCAAAATGCAGTATCTGTACTTTATTGGAGTATATATTTTTTGCTCTACTTTTACTTTTACTCAACTACTTATTTTTGATTAATTTAATACTTTTACTTTTACTTTCATGGGCTGCAATGTTCCTCGTTACTGATATGTAAACGTAATGATAGATAGCTCTGTCAGGGTTTGGGAAGCTGGCTCCTTATTGGACGATTTGAGCCATCAAGCATGGCCTATTAAAAAAACCCTCCCAAAAGATTGCGAAATCCTGGCCTTCAAAAATTCCCCATCTAATCTGACGAAGCATTTCAAGCTAAGTAAAAAAATACAATGACATATAAGCTAGTAAGTAAGCGCTAGTTCAGTTCTCCCTGTTCACTCAGGACGTAGCAGCTAACGTTAGCTAAAGCTAAGCTAGCTGCCTAGCTGAATGCTACATGCTAGCATAAAGACTCAGCTCAGGATTCTGACTCTGGAATAATAATGAATAGTATTTAAGTGCTGTTGATTGCTAATGCAGATGTAGTTTTCTGTTTTTTGTAAACACCTGTATGGCCTTTCACACGTTTGAAATAATATAAAAAATATCTATCAAACCTTTGACTGCCTTTTTAAAAATATACTAGTACTTGTACTTTTACTTATACTTGTACTTTCGATACTTGAGTAGCAATTTTTGAAATACTTCTACTTGCAATACTAAAGTCCAAAAAAAATGGAGTACTTCCGTACTTCAACTTAAGTATGGTGTTGAAAGAACACTTCAACTTTTACTCAAGTCAATTTTTTTATATAGTACTTGCACTTCTACTCCAGTACTTTAAACATCTCTGGTTTTTCATCCCTCCTCTCCCAGTTCTGGGTCTTCCCAACCAGGTGGAGGAGCTGTGCACGGACATCCCGGAGCTGGAGATCCTGATGAAGGAGATCCACGACCTGGCCGAGTCCGGGGCCCGCTACACGGAGATGCCCCACGTGATCGAGATCACTCTGCCCATGCTGTGCAACTACCTGCCCCGCTGGTGGGAGAGGGGCCCCGAGAGCCTCCCCGAGCAGGAGGGCCAGGTCTGCACCGCCGTCACCTCCGAGCAGCTCAACCAGCTGCTGGGCAGCATCATGAAGATCGTGGTCAACAACCTGGGCATCGACGAGGCCTCCTGGATGAAGAGGCTGGCAGGTCAGTTGCCTTATCCCTATAATGCCAAATGTGTCATATTTGATACGGTTTCTGAAGTCTTTTGGATGTGAGACTTTTTGCATCATTCAGTGGTAAAAGCTTTGCTCAAACCCCTGTTGTACACATTCAGATATACCTGATAACAGCCAGTAGAAGACTACACCAAAATATACTTTTGACTTATTGCACGCTAATTTGATCGAAATAATTTCTGTTTTTTTTTAAATTCATATGTTGTTGAGGGACCAAAGAAAGACTTCAGACCAAAAAAATCCAATATTCTTCCTATTTTTCTTGGATCAGGCTTTAAAGGGTTAAATGCGGATTAACAGGCACTTAGCATCATAAAGAACAGAAAGAGAGAGACAGGCAAACATAAAAGGTAAATGAATAAATAATAATAATAAATAAATAAATTGAAATTGACAGGAAAAAATAAATACCAATAAAAAAATTAAACAGAAATTGGGTAATGAAATAAAATGAAATGGAGTGCATGACAGACAAAGTTTAAACAAGGCAGGCAAAAGTATGAACAAAGTATCAAAGCAAGATTAACAAAACTGTGCATAAAGTCCAAAATCCAATGGAAAAAGAGAGAGACTGTAACAAAGTACAAAATCAAAAACTCTTACGAGGCGTGAACAAGACGAGGAACGAAAAGACAAAAGCACAAAACACACTGGCACAGGACAAGGGGAAACGAGGACTATTTAAACACATGAGGGAAGGGAACCCCAGATGTACAAAATAGGTAATCAAGGAAGACATGACAACACACCAGAAATTCCACCAGACGTGACACAAACACTACGAGGAGATACACAAAACTAACGAAAACAAACAGCAAAACATACTGTGGAAAAACCCGAGGGAGAACCTGCAAACAAACACAAGGAAGAGACCCACAAACAATCGTTTTTTTGTTTTGTGTCCCCCTCCAGTCTTCGCCCAGCCCATCGTGAGCCGGGCCAAACCGGAGATGCTGAAGTCCCACTTCATCCCCACCATGGAGAAGCTGAAGAAGCGCGCGGGGAAGGTGGTGGCGGAGGAGGAGCACCTGCGCATGGAGGGCAAGAGCGAGGTGGACAGCGAGGAGGGGACCATCCGGGACGAGTTCGCCGTGCTGTGCCGGGACCTGTACGCGCTCTACCCGCTGCTCATCCGCTACGTGGACAACAGCAGGTCCCCAACCGCTCGCCAACCGCCATTAAAGCTGGACCGGGAGGATCCAGGGAGCCTAAACAGAGTCTCTATCTCTGTCCACAGGGCCCGGTGGCTGACCTGTCCAGACCCAGACGCAGAGGAGCTCTTCAGGATGGTGGGGGAGGTGTTCATCTTCTGGTCCAAATCACATGCAAGTATCGTTTGGTCTTCGGTGGACGGTTTTGTGGAGTTTCGCTTTCTTTTTGGGACACCTGGAGCGTGGACTTTCTCCAGTTTGTTGTCATCAGATGACAGGAATTTAGATTATAGTTAAAACTAAAGGCAAAACGAAAGCTTTTCTTTTTCAAATGACATTAAATCTATCATTCAGTTTAAGACGTTTGGATCGTTTTTATTTCTTTATGATGGAGCGGTTTTGTGTTTTTTCCAGCATTTGGTTTTGTGGTGTTTTGCTTTCTTTTTGGGACACGTGGAGCGTGGACTTTCTCCAGTTTGTTGGCATCAGATGACAGGAAATTAGATTATAGTCAGACTAAAAGCAAAACAAAAGCAAAAATAGCTGTTTCACATTGCTCGAACTTTCATTTTTCAAATGACATGAAAACTATCATTCAGTGTAAGATCTTTTTATTTCTTTATGATGGAGCAGTTTTGTGTATTTTCCAGCATTTGAAACAAGGAAAGAAATGATTTTTTCATAAATTTACCTTCATCATGTTGGAAAAGACATCATCATCTTCATAACAAGCTTAATATTTACACGTAAAGGCCAACAGGGAAATTACGTTAAAGCTTCCCAAGGGTTCATTTCCAGTTCTTAAACTAATAAATATTGCAATATAACATCTGGACTCTGATGAAAGGAAAAAAGCGTCTTTACCTGTTGGTCTGTTTCTTTCTGTGGCAGAACTTCAAGCGTGAGGAGCAGAACTTTGTGGTGATGAATGAGATCAACAACATGTCCTTCCTCACCGCCGACAGCAAGAGCAAGATGAGCAAGGTGAGAGAGGGGGAGCGGGCCTCCGGTTGGCCTGTTTTCAGCCAGAACTAAACCCTAATGATTAATATCCCACTAACGCCACTCTGAGTGGATTTGGGTTTAATCTCAATCTAGGTTCATTTCCACCATTTCTTCTCAGTAAGCCGTAATAATATAATACGAGTCATCTTAAAATAGCGATGTAACCCCACCATGAGCCTCACCTGTCATGGCTCTGACCAGCAGGGTTTGGTGGGCGGGTTCCCCTGTTGCTAACTGTGTTTTCTCCCCATGTCCTGTGTCGGGGGTCGGACGCGGGGCCGCTAGGCCGGAGACGGAGAGGTTAGCCTAGCCTGTGTTTGTGCACGAGATGGCATGGCACCCCCGAGTTAAACGGCATTTCATCAGGCGCTCCCGCCCCCCCCCCCTCCACCCTGGGGGTCTGATTGTTGGGGGTCCCGGGAGGCCTGATGAAAGCTCTGTGCTGTAGATGGTAGCGGCCTTTGGAGGCCCAGTGGTGCTCGGCTGAGCGGGCGCCATCGCCTCGTCTCTGATTGGAGCTGCTGTGTCCAATCCAATCCAATTAAACTTTATTTCTATAGCTCCACATCCCACAACAGCAGGTATCTCCAAGCTTTTCCAAACAGAGCAGCTCAGACCGGAGTCTGAAGTTATTTACAGAAGAACAACAAATCCCACCATGAGCAAGCACTAGGCGACACAGGGAAGCAAAAACTTAATTTAGGAGGAAGAAACCTGGAGCAGAACCATGGCTCAGGGTGGGGGTGAGAGAGAGAGACATAGAGAGAGAGGGCAAGAGAGGGAGAGAGAGAGAAGGACAGAGAGAGGCAGCCTACACACAGATTGGATGAAAAATGGCAATGATATTGATGCTAATGCTAATGCTAGTAGTAATAACAGGCAATAAGACTATGAACAGTGGCTGTAATTGTAACAGTAGGAACATGGGGACTACAGGAAACTCCCAACCACAGATCCAGCTTCCACATCTCCAGGAACAGGAAGTGATGGCAGGAACAGGAAGTGATGGAGGAGGCTCTTAGATCTTTCTCAGCTTTTGTGGGGGAGACTCCTGCCTCTCTCTCACCCCAGAGCTGGAGAGCTGTAGCCTCTCTCCCCGTCTCCCCCCAGATTTACCGGACTGGTCGGCATCATCTCTCACTTCTGGATCTGTCTAACCGCACTCATCCCTTCATGTCACGCCCATCAAAGTCATCAGATATCTCACCACTGTTTGATGTTTGGGTTAACCCCTCTTTAAAGACTTTTTCTTCTTTTATCTGACCACCAGAAGGCTCTTCATAGGGCCGGGGCCGGACAGACAGCTGTCCATAAGGGGTGGGACATGGCTGCAGGAAGTGGGGGTGCTGGGGAGGCTGCAGCACCCCCTAGTGGCGAGAGGGAGATTACATATTATATATTAAAAAATATATTAAAAATACTTTGCATAATTTATACATTTCTTATGAATATTATGAATATTTTGGGAAATTATTTTGATATTTTTTTATTCTACTATTAC